ACTCGCAGTCTAAGGCCTCAGCTTAGTACTATTCTGGCTTTCCAAGATTCCCAAGTTAAATGACACACAGAAGTATTTAAGGGTAGCAAATTGTTCCCTTGAAGATTTTTTTTCTTCATTCAGTTCCTAGAAGCTGAATGTGGTCAAGTGGCTCAAGAGTAGGATATGGAGCCAAATTTTCCTGTCCTACCCAGGTCTGGGAGACCTTAGGCAAGTGGCTTAAAATTTATCAGCCTCCTGGCCTTGGTTTTCTTGTTTATAACCAAGCCTGGAAAATATTTGAGTCTCAATAAGTAAGAGCTAACAGTTCAATTTTTACTAATGTTCTAGACACTGTATTATGTCCTTTACTCATATTAACTCATTTAATTCTCACAACAATCCTCTGATGTAGGAGCTATTACTATTATTTTCCAGATAATAAAATAACGAAGAGAACTGAGACATAAAACAGCGTGGCTGGTAAAGACAAACTAATAGTCAAACATAGGGAGTCTGGTTTCAAAGGGGAAGCTTTTAACCACTCTGCTACATACCTTTTGTGGAGATTAGTTCTCTTCCCACGTATAAACATCTTTATGTTTATTGAGTGTCTACTATGTGCCATCTCTCTGCCCAAATATGTTAAGGAACTGTACTGAAAATGAACTAGAGGCACAGTATAAAATAAGACATAGTTTTTGCTCTCGTGGAAAATTTTTTTCTTTCACTTGATAGAGTTAGATTACATGGGTTCTATTTTCATCTGAGTTCAAGAAAACATTACTCAAAATGATCTTCAGTCGAATTCAACAGAATTTAGTAGTGAAACAGTGAAACAGAGATATGTCATAATAGCTTCAGTTTGAATTCATATTTAACCTCCAAAGTACTTTATGAATCTTGTAGTAATCAAATCGAGAAAGCCTGACTTAAAAGCGATAAACTAAAAACAAGAAATAAACTAAAAAGTGACTTGAAAAAAGTGATGAACTAAATGCTTTTTCTGACTTGTGCCCTGAAGACCCCACACAATTCTTTGAATTTATCAGTTTAAATCCTCCCCAAAGCACCTCTCTTAACACATAGATGCCTCTATTGCCTGGCACCTTTACTTCTGCAATAACTTTCTATAGTGTGTTCTACTAGAAAGGGAATTCATGGTAGAGTGATATAAAGCAAAGCAGTCTTTACGTTCATTTTAATTTGCAAACAACAATGTTGCCTTGTAGTTACTTTTTGTCCTGATTTTAATATAGAAATTAAGATCATGATATTTTAGATTTTTTCCCAAAAAAAAAAAGTTTCTTGCTAAATATAGGATTTCACTAAACACAGATCTTGTTCATTTGTTCAAGGTAAACAACTGGAGTGCTCACCAGGTCCCAGGCATCAGCCTAAACCACAAAGGTATATTGGTTTAGTAGAGGAACCAGACAGATAAAAAGCAACTATATCAATTACATACCAGGTAATGCTCAGAAGACTGGAAGCCAAGAGGAGGAGGAGCTGAATATGTTTTTTGTAACATAACGTTTAATAAAGTGTGAACCTGAAATGGGAGTAGGTGGGTTATAAAATGAGGGGGAAACATTTGCAGTTTTCTTTCCAAAACAGCCATGTCACTACTTTCAAGTAATCTAAGAATGGAGAAGCATACATATATTGTTGGTGCTTTATAATGATTATAAAAGAGACAAAAAATGTGGAGCATCCTGTTGAAGTTATAAATACTTAGCACATTTTAAAAAGAATTCTGACAGTTAAATAATCGCATTAAGTGTTCCATACAGTACCAGAATCATTTTTATATAAAGAACCTATGCATTCAGCACAAGAAATCTTAAGAACTTCCTTACAAAGGAGTGATGGGCAGCTGTCAGTTTTAAGTGGTGGGCTGAATGGACTTCATGATAGGGCAGAATCAAAGAGGAGGAATGGGGGCTGGACTGATAGAAGTCAACCAATGTTGCCTCTCTACTGAAATAAGAAAGCCCTTTTTAATTCTCTCAGTTAGGAATTGAGTGTGTGGAACCACAGGAAGTTTTAAGGGATAATTTATTAAACTTCCTTTATGAACTCGACTGTAATTTTGTATTGATGGTTTTAAAAATTAAGCAATATTTTTCTTTTTTGGTCGGGAGAGAGGGAGGTTTATAACTACTTGTTTTTGGGGGGGTGTTCTTCCTGGTAAATACTGTAGGTAACTAATCTGAAGAGGTCTTTTCTAATATTTGATGTATTATGAGCAAAGAATTTTAGTAGCGTTTCAGGAGGTGGTGCTACGAAGTAGATTCACAGTCGTCCTATAATCAGGCCAAGGCATATTTTCCAAGGTGTTTTCATATCTAACGTAAGCGGGGGTCCTGCCCCGTGGTTTGCAAACTGTCCAGGCAGTATCTGAAACTGCTGTTTTTCCAAGTCCGTTAAAAAGTTATTACACTTGGGGTTTTTCGGTTCTGTTATTCCCCACCCCTGCCCTCTGGCTTTTTCCAGTGGAGACCTGCCCTGGGGGGTATTTTGTCCCGGGAGCACAAAACTATTTTCTTTTCTGGAAATAAGTTGACGTCAACTGGGAGCTGTTTTTGGTTGCTTTGTTTCCCGGAGCGTCCAACCAAGCACACTGCCTCAGGCAAACTGCAAGCAATTCAAAGCAGCTCGCCGAGCAGGGAGGGGAGCTGGGGGGCTGAGGGACAGACCCCCACCGCCCGCTGAAGTGGGGAGACTCGGGGAGCGGCTTCACTACTGGGCTGGAGCGTGGGCCTGAGTCCCCAGGCGGAGCCGGGAGCACAGTCCCTCGGTTCACTGCGCTCACGGTGAGGGCCTCGGGGGAGCAGCCCCTGGTAGGTAACTCGCCTGGCACCCACCTGAGTTCTCAGCACCGCTGAAATTACCCGCCCTAGCGTTGCGGCGGCCGGGAAACCTGGGAGCATCCCGGGACAAAGGGACAGCCCTCCAGAAGTAGCCGTGTGCGACTGGTGTGTGCCAGCTCTGGTGCGCGGGTCCGCGTGTGTAACTAAGTTGCCTACTGCCCTGGGCTCTGGGAAACAAACACGGCTTTCTACATTTTGGGGGGTGACAGTGAAGTTTGAACAAAGCGTGCCGCACCTCGGGGACGGTTCCCGAGGAGTGTAATCTCCTGATTCCTCGCCTCCCGTGACGGTTCCCAGCGGAGAGTAGGACGAATGAGAGAGAGAGAGAGAGAGAGAGAGAGAGA